ATAGTAGGATACATACTTGCAGTTCGTTGTTTTTAAATATGTGTACTGTGTGACACTAAAACCTTTTATCAGCCTATTTGCCGTTGAAAATAGCTGCTCATCATAAGTATTCAGATCATTCCTTGTTGTACATTCTCTATGTCTGTTCTGTCCATCACTATCTTCAGGTGATGTGACCAGCCTGGGTAGTTCACCAAAAAGGGGTAGCACAGGTTGTTCAAATACAATGGAATGATAATCAGATTCAAAAGAAAACCATAAGGAAAGGGCAAAAATCTCTGAAAAGAATCTCAAAATGAGAAAAAGGGTGGAAAAGGTTTCAAAGAAACTCAATTTCAAATATTGGTCAAGAGTCTCTAAGTTATGAGCTCGTTGGTCTCTCTATTCTTCTTTGATTAAGGGGGGTATTTTCTTATTTCTAGCTCTCTTTGCTCTAGAAATCTTCTGAATACATATGATGATGTGAAAGTCTAGCAATGGTAAATCACAAAGTGTGAAAGCAACTTTGAGAAATTGCTATCTTCTTGCAAAATTAAGTGTGAAAACACTCTTTGAAAATTGCTGCCTTTGTGTGCTGGTGGGTTGATTCCATTTTTCGGTGTAAGATAAATTGAGCTGCTGGTGTGTATCAGATTGTGTGCTTCATGTCTCTGGTACAACTTGTCTTAGAGTCTCTGTGTACTGTCTCTAAACTCTGTTTCTGAAAAATGTATATATATTTATGTACATATAAATCGTATTGGGCTTGCTGTATATATATCTTGAATTTAGTGGAGGCCCTTATCTGTGTTTGGGTTGTTGCTTGGGCTTGTTTCGGATATGTTTGGATATGGGCCGGTTTTTGTGATTAGATTTGGGCCGAATTCTGGTTGTGTTTGTTCGGTTTGAATTGTTTTGTGAAGCGTGTGCAGGTGTGATTGATGTGATGGCTCACGGCTCAAGAGAAGAAAGAAAAAGTTGGTTATTAAGTGTCGTGTCTCTCACGCTTTTACAGACTCAACTTCTCTTCCGTCCTTTCAGTTCCCTCTCGTATCTCTCTCTGAAAACGTTTTAGGGTTCTCTGTTCAGTCTCTTTGTTTCTCAGATCTAAACAACCATGTCCGAAGAACCTACTGTCGTTGATGCTCTTCTCCATGAAGCCTCTCCGGCTCCGGTTGTCTCCAAGCAATCTGTCTCTCTCGATACCGCCGGTGCGTCCAAATCAAGGAAAACAAAGACCAAGTCCACTGTTAGTGTTTCTCAGTCCAAGCCAGTCACTTTGCGCACTGGACCACGACGTCTCCGTCCTATGCTACCGAAGAAGAAGTTCATCGATCTGACGCCTCATCTGCTTGACAGTGAAGGATCTGATGCATCTCCACCTCAGTCTCTCACAAAGCATGTAACCGGTGATGTTCGCATGAACAATGCTCCTGTCTTTGCATCTGGTGTCACTGACGATGGTCCGCCTGCCTTCTTGCTCCATTATGCCGAGAATCGTCGTCTGGTGTTGGAAAAAGACAAGAAGTACCCTGAAATCAAGAAGTGTGACTGGGAGCCATACTCTGACACGTTTGCTACTGGCAAATCTACCAAACAATATGCTCTGATCTCTTC